TTTTTATTATTATTATTATTATTATTATTATTATCATCATCATCATCATCATCATCATCATTATTGTATTAAATTTATGTGCTGCCCGACTCCCAGAAAATCCATATTCCAGTTAGGATCAACATATTTAACTGCAGGCCTTAGAGCTGCCTCCAGCTCCTTGTGTGGCCCCTTGAAATTTCCTAAATTTCTTAGCAAAATCCTGTTTTCTTTATTGCGACAGAAGCGGGAAATATTAAAATTCATGATTAGAAAGTAATTATATTTACATTTACGTATAAATGAAATCACCTTTATTTATGTGGCCTGGTCTCACCTACTAATTTATGGAGTGTGGCCCATGACATGGCAGTCAAATAACAAATGTGGCTTTTGGTCCAAGAAAAACTAAGAATTGTAGCTAGGATTTGTAGAAATGGGAGTTTTCTTTTACTGTAAGCTAATGACGTGATATTACTCATTTCATAATATGTTGTAACATAAGCCTCATTGAATAGATGCAAAAGGGAAAAGGGTGAGGCTGTAGGTATAGCATTCTGAACTATCTCTGTTAGCTCCAGCCTTTCTAAGGAATAATTGTAGCTTTAGGGTGGAGTACTTAAAGAACACTATCTCCATTTAAAAAAAAATCAAAACACGTTCTGTGCCTGAAAGTTTGGAAAGCTAATATAATAAGTAGTAAACCTTCTCAAGCTTCAAATCCATAATTTGACTCAATCTATTTTCTCTCACTTTTTCTTTATCTTTAGTTTTCACACTTAAATATTACTGTTGAGAACCTTTGACTAACTATTCTGATCTGGAAATGTCTTGAAAATATGGTGGTTCTTCATGATCTTGTTTAAGTTTGTCTTTGTATCCCTTCTCAGGATTGAGTTTTTCAAGCACACTGTCCATCTTTATTCTTCAGCTCCCCAAGACCAAAACATACTGTCATCTATCATAATGTCCAGCTCTGTTTGTGAAATTTAAATATTCTTCCTTTGTAACTAGAGTGTCTTTGGACCTAGAGATCTCATTCTCTGGCAATCAGATTTCACTGAATATTTCAGTCATGTCTGTACAGTTTCCTTTCCAGCAATACAAAAGTAGTTGGCCATTATTTTCTTGTTTATTTGATCTTGGAGATCCTTCTCCCAGGCGAATTGACTTTCTCAAATCTGCACAGCGTATTTACAGTCACCCTATTGCATATTATCCTTAGCTTCACTGCTCCCTTTACTGGCTGAAGTGAACTTATTTGGAACTTCCACTCATGGTAGCATTACTTTCAGGATAATTGAAGATACTGAGTCCCTTTCCCCACATTAACACATTAATTCCTCACAAGGATGTTTAAAATACAGGTAGTCCTCGTTTAAGAATCACAATAGGGACTGGAAAATTGGTTGTTAAGCGGGGCAGTCATTAAGTGAGTCACCACATGACTGGACTCAATTTTACGACCATTTTTACAATGGTTGTTAAGCAAATCAGTGTGATTGTTAAGCAAATCACGTGGTCGTTAAGTGAACCCAGCTTCCCCAATGGACTTTTTTGCCAGAATTTGCTCAATGACCATGTGATTTGCTTAATAAGTTCAGTGATTTGCTTAACGGCTATCATAAAAAGGTCACAAATCGCTATCACATGATGGCAGTGGGTTGGTGTGACAGTTTGCAATAGTTGTAAGTGCAAGTACAGATTGCAAAGCACTTTTTCCAAGGCCATTGTAACTTTGAACTGTCGTTAAATGAACTGTTGTTAAGCAAAGACTACCTATGCATGTATATTAAAATAATGTTTTAAAAATATTCATACATGCACATATAGCCAGGAATTGGCATAAGTCCCATAAATTCTGGAAAATATTCCCTCAGGAATATTGGAAGTTTAATCATCTTTCTCACTGTAGTACTTACCACCCACCCACAAATTTAATATTTTTCTGCTACAATCAATAGCTTGCTTCTTTACTCATAGCAATAGGACTATATTTTTAAAGGTAAATTGAAGGAGAGGTTTTCTCTATGTGTAGTAATTGCTTTAAGAGAATTTTAATTCATTAAGCTTTAGATACTGTATACTGCAATGTCTTGCTAGTTGCAAATAATATTGAATCAGTACAAAATGTGTATTTCTTTCATTTGTTCTTTCTTCCTACCTTCCCACACAGCCACATACCCCAAATTAAAGGGGATTTATAAATACAAATTTAAAGCATCAAAATATGTATAACTGCAGTCATAACCAATTTTAAAATAAAATCCCTTACTGTCTTGTTGGTCTCTAATGTCATTTCTATTTTGCCAGAAATGCTATAATAATATAATGGTTATACCCTTGCCTTGTAAATAGAAGATTTCAAAATCTTGTTCAAATGTTGACAGAATTCTTTTAATTTACTATTTTACTTTCCCTGATTTCATACATTGTTTTCTGGGACTAAAAAACAAATAGTGTACCATTGGAAAAAATAAGTGGCTCAGGCAAGAAATACAGTAAAAATTACAAGTTTCAAACCAGCAACCTTCTATTAGCAAGGCAAATGTTGCAACTCTTTTACTATTATAGCATTCCTGATAGAAGTAGCTCTAAATGATGTTAGAGACTGTGGCAATCATTGACTTAGTTGAAGGTGCATTCCTGCTTTGTGAGGTAACCTGAAAACTGAACGAGTCAGCCTGTACTGAGGTACAGCATGTGAGGTGAGATAAGTGGAGGAAAGAGTTTAAAAGCACAGCAGGAAAACACAGCCAGAGACTGCAGTTGCAATGAAAAGGATATGAGTACAGAGCCACATCATCCCCTCCAAAAGTAGTGTCTAACTTTCTTTTGGCAACAGGACAACTGGGTAGCCTGGGTAAGACTCAGATTAGAAAATGGGGTGATCTGGTAAAAACATGTAGAGATGTATATAGGGAAATTCAAACCACTATTTTCACATGTAAATTAAAGGCAATAGGAGGATATTTCCAATACACAGAGTTTTAATATTTGCCTCTGTACACTGGATGCAAATTTGGTAATGAGTGTTTTTTAAAATTTAGTGATATTGGAATATGTACTAAAATGCTTCCGTTTAATGATTTATCTGTTTGGATAACTAGTCTCTAGTTATCATCCCTAGAATTTATTGTTCTCTGGATAACTGTAAATTTATTGAAACCATTTCTGCTATAAGTGCTCACCAACTAAAATGATTTTAAAGAATAATAGGTTCTGTACTAAAATAATTCTGGTACTAGCAAATTGCCTGTTGGCCTAGCAGTTATTCATATTATCTA